GGCCTTATAAGGTTAAAAGATGGAGAGCTGAAAGTAATCCGCGGGTCGACATTGCCGCTTAAAGTGTTGCCATCGATTGGTGCTGAGGAGCTTCTTCGGAAAGGAACCGAGAAGATTGTGAAGTTCAACAGCGATTTAAGCTTATGTGGTGCCACCAGTTTTGCGTTGCTGTATCCTGACAGAACCGAAGTGAAGTGCCTTCCAGGGGGAATGGAACCGTTTACACTACAGCGGTACAAAGAGGAACTTGGGAAGTCTTACAACCGGATTACCTTATACCTTAGCAAGAAAACAGCTATTTTGGATGCCCTGTTTATGAAATCATACAACAGTGATGAAAGTGACGCCGATTTGCCTACTTACGAAGAGGTATAAACATTTTAATTAAAGCTTACTGCTTTAGATTACAGTAAATTGTATGTGGTAGTCAATGGGCTCTGGTATTTGATTGGTTAGTACTTTAACAGTCCCTCCTCCTAAGCTGCATAAATTATTATATAGCTCATACAAAAAATTGAATATCTGAAGGGTTAAAGATTTGCTCGATGTAGCAATAATGATTAATGAGTCAGTTTTCATACTTATTGCAGTTGATGAAAATGACGCAGGAAACAGAGAGTGAAGGAGATACTTGGAGGCCGAGGGTAAACCATGCTGTCACAGACAACCTGACAACCAACACATCTACATTCCTCCCAGCTGTCACTTACACAGCTACAAGGAACACATCCACAGACTGCACAGTCCAGACTGCAACAAGCCACATAGCCACACTCCAGACAGCTGCAAGCAACATAGCCACAGTCCAGACAGCTAGAAGCAACATAGCCACAGTCCAGACAGCTACAAACAACATATCCACAGTCCAGACAGCTACAAGCAACATAGCTATAGCTGAGACAGAAGCAAACTCAGATACGTTAACTCAAGGGGTTCAGTCAGCAGTCACAGGTCAGAGCAAATCTGCTTTTGCAAGTTCTTTTTTCTCTAAAAGGTATTTTTCTTTCGTCTAAAAATAATTTGCTTGTGACAGTCTTAGCCATATATTTTATTCTGTTTTGGTAATAGTTTTATACACACCTACCAAAACTTAAATATGTACAAAGTACTGTAAAATAATATTCAGCTTCAAAAACAAATAAGTAAAATAATAAATAAAGAAATTGATTGCCATTTAATATAGCTACTAATGTAAACAATGTTTAAAAATGTAATAAAATATTGTATTGATTCAGGCAAGATATACAGAAAACTGGTCAGAAGAGAATTTTAAAGCAATTATTGGATGAGGTTTTTTGTGATATCCAGAATAATCAAGTGGAGGTAGGGGTTATCAGCTGAAGCCAAAGGTTGAGGCTGATAGCCCTTACTGAGACCTTGGTTATTCTAGATATCACAAAAACCAAATCTAATAATTCTTTATTTTACATTGAACAAAAAAAAATGGAAGTCATGTTTTTGCTTCTTCACTGACGGCAAGCAACACAAAGCGTGCGGACTTGACATGGTTATGCTTAGAAATCATGCACCACGGTCTTACATGACATGATTACCTGTGATATTGAGTGTCCTTGACATGATTATTGTGTAATCTGCAGCTAGATGATGTCACAGGCACTGATTTTGAAAATTCACTTTACGCTTTAGGCCAATCAGAAAACAGATAGTTCAATGTATGATGACATGCATTATTTATATATTGATTATTTTGATTGATTTTCCTACAGGTGCAGAGGTTTTGAATGTTGGAGCTCTTTTAACAGATTGTCCAGTTCACAACATCATTCTCTATAGGGCTTTTCTTAAGGATAATTTGATAGAAGTATTTAAGGATCCTGAAATAATTGAAGTAAATTTAGATGTTACTTTAACTGGTGACAATGGCAAGGAGGAAGAGGGAAAGGGGGCTGGTGTTTTTCCTGACACATTATCTACTTTCTGGAGCCAATGACTGTAGGAACTCAAGAAAAAGTTCCTGCTACCAGACATGATTACCAAAGAGCTGAATGGGAAGCAATTGCTAAAATTCTAATGCATGGGTATATAAAGGAGAGATATTTTCCCCTTCCATTGTCAAGAGCTTTTGTTGCATTGTGCCTTTTTGGTGAAGAAAGCATGACAAGTGATTTTTTACTATCAAGCTTTAAGCTCTATATTTCAGAAGATGAAAGGGAGACTCTTCAGAAATGTCTTGAAGGGACAATTGAAGATGATGATGATGATNATGTGGTAGTCAATGGGCTCTGGTATTTGATTGATTAGTACTTTAACAGTCCCTCCTCCTAAGCTGCATATTATATAGCTCATACAAAAAATTGAATATCTGAAGGGTTAAAGATTTGCTTGATGTAGCAATAATGATTAATGGGTCAGTTTTCATACTTATTGCAGTTGATGAAAATGATACAGGAAACAGAAAGTGAAGGAGATACTGGGAGGCCTAGGGTAAACCATGCTGTCACAGACAACCTGACAACCAACACATCCACAGACTGCACCGTCCAGACAGCTACAAGCAACATAGCCACAGCTGAGACAGAAGCAAACTCAGATACATTAACTCAAGGGGTTCAGTCGGCAGTCACAGGCCAGAGCAAACCTGCTTTTGCAAGTTCTTTTTCTCTAAAAGGTATTTTTCTTTTGTCTAAAAATAATTTGGTTGTGACAGTCTTAGTCATATTTTATTATTTTTTGGTAATAGTTTTATATACACTTACCAAAACTTAAGAGCAATCGTCCCAAAATTTCGCCTAGAGGTATGCAAAATGAAAAAATCGAAAATCCCCAAACTTTGCCAGGATATAGGTCTGGATGAACTATTTCTAGAAAAAATACTGTAAGTTCGATTAGATTTTTATTTTATGCGAACGGCGACAACATCGGTTTGGCGGCTTTCACATCAGTTTCACGAGCTCCAAACAACGCATTATTTGAGCTTTGCTTAAAAATAAACAAAACGGTAAATCTGGCCATTGAATATCTTAATGAAAAGAACACATGTTTACGAAC